ATTCCAGCAGGATAAACAAAAGAACTAGACCGACAGTTTTTCACCCACTCCTGGTCGTGTCAGGGATAAATTGACGGGTTCAGACATTTGCAATTTTTAACATAAATGTTGAAAACTATTAGAAATGCTGTTTTTATATCCAACTTTATATCCCCCTCTTATATAAATCCCCCCCCCCCGCCCCCGTCAATGTTCCTGTTTTTGATGTTCTGAATATACTAGAATCTCATAAAAGGGTTGACAAAAAAAAATTCAGGATTCATTCCCCAAATAATCATGGCATCCTGCCATTCTGAAAACTAACACACTCCGACAGACGCTGGCACAGTTACGTGTACGAGTGGGTTAAGCAGCAGCTATAAAATATTCAAAAGCTTTCAGCTCAAGGTCTTGGCTTCAACAAAAAAGGAGCTGAAAAAAAAAAAGAAAAGAAAAGATCTTTTTGTGTCATTGTAATATCAGTATTCACATCTATAAACCAGGCCTGGAGGCGATCAATAAAAGTGAGTGCCAGACAAACTGAACGCTGCACAGCCACAAGACAAAGAGGCAGATTTTCCCCCCGTCGTCACAGACCTTGACTGCTGCCTCTGCAGACGGCAGTGAAGGATTTGAAAAGTGAAAAGTTTCAGCCTCGCAATTTACATTTAAACCATGTGTAATTGTGTCGGCTCCGAGAGCACAGACCTCTGAAGAAAAAAAAAAAAAAAAAGAAACAGATTGTATGAAAGTATTAAGAAGTTACAATTTCTTCAACGCAAGAAAAACAAAACAAAATCAATTTCCTGTCTTTATAATATCCTGAAACATGAACTAGAACACAGTCATCGGATCTTCATGCACGGAGACACACCGTCTGTTTCCACGTGTGTGAACATGACAAATGAGAGGCAGCGACTGAGCCACAGCCGGCAGAGATCGATCCATACGTAATTGATCAGTCCATCGATGGAGTGGACTCAGATATCACAGTGATATCAGAGCACGCGACGACCCTGAGCGCTGAAAGTCACGTCCAGAGTTACAGCTCAATAACAGCCCTGGGGGGTGGGGGGGGGGCAAGTCGCCCATTAACGCATCCAATAACAAGAGGATTATCCTGTGAGATGATGACGTGATATTAGTGACGAGAGAGAGAGAGTGGCTTCAGACGTCAGGACTGTCAACAGTCAACAGTCAGTCAGTCAGTCAACAGGCAACAGTCAACAGTCAACAGGCAACGGTCAGTCAGTCAGTCAACAGGCAACAGTCAACAGTCAACGGTCAACAGTCAGTCAACAGTCAACAGGCAACGGTCAGTCAGTCAGTCAACAGGCAACAGTCAACAGTCAGCAGTCAGTCAACAGTCAACGGTCAGTCAACAGTCAGTCAACAGGCAACAGTCAACAGTCAGGCGGCAACAATCAGGCAGCAGTCAGTCAACAGTCAAACGTCAGCAGACAGTCAACCGTCAACAGTCAATCAACAGTCAACAGTCAGCAGTCAGTCAACAGTCAACGGTCAACAGTCAACAGTCTTATCTCTGTATGGACTCTTCCTGTTCCATCAGCAGCTTCACACATGGCTGCTCTTAGTTTTTTATCCTAAACCGTTATGAAATAAAGTTCAATGACAAATTTCATCTTTTCCATTGAACCCAAACCTCCGTAGACGTAGATATACATCAGTCTTTTACCTCGGTGGAAAATTCAGAGAAAATAAATAAGGTGTTTTTTCTTCACCACATGACACTTTGGTCCAGTGTGAGATGAATTCACATCAGTCAAAGACAGTCAGAGCGACAAAGACATCAACTTAGCTTAGCTTCATCAACCAACCGGTAAGAAGGACATGAAGTACCGGAATGTTCTGGTTCTAATTACAATTTCTCACAGTGTAAAAGTCTCTCCGCCTCAGTGGACCTGGTTTGAAGAAACAAAGTCAACACAGCCTTCTGATACTGTGATGTTAAACTTTGGGTTTTGTTCGTTCATGAAACTCGTTTCAGGCAAATCCCTGAATGAAAGACAGTTCAATATTCAAGCTGACCGTTGCCTCGCTCTTACATCATTACGAGAGTGCAACATCTGGTGAAGTTGAAGTTTGACGTCCTCTGTGGACGCTGGCCGTGTAGCAAGCGTGAGAGAGTGTCCACTCTGGTGCATATTTCAAAAAAAAAGAAACAAAAAAAAAAAAAAACGAAGACGTTTGAATGTGTGCGCAGCAAAGTCTCTATAGATTTGACCCTGAAGGTCAGCGTGGCTGCAGCGGCCGTGACCTCAACTGCAGACCAGAGGAGAGGGAAATGAAATGAAGGACTTTGTGGATATATGTACTGTAGTACTGCATATTATGTACTGTAGTACTGCATGTACATGTACTCATTCTATACGCCAACAGTTGATGTCTAAAGGTTTTTTTATCAATGTTGCCACGGCAACCGTGTCCGATAATGGTCAACATCTAGCGACACGAAATCTTAGCCATTGAAAATATTTCAAGGCAAAAAAAGAAAAAAAACCTATTAAGAAATTGAATGTATAAAATGATATACATTAAGCTTATGCTCCGCCCTCTCTCTTTCTATTGGCTGTTGGCAATACTTGTTTTCAGGCTATGCTTTCTGACCTCACGGGTCTGGTCTGTAATAATGTCTGTAATAATGTCTGTAATAATGTCTGTAATGTGTGTTACAGTGTATATCTTACATGATTTATAGTAAAAAAAAAACAAAGGTTTGAAAGTGAACAGTTTTTTTTTTTCCGGAAAGCAGTTTTCAAATGACTGCGGTAAAACCAATACCACAGATTACCATCATAGAGGAATATAAACATTAATTATGTGAGTCAATGAAAGGAGGAAATACACTCCCACGCACACACACTCTGTCCCTCCACACACACTGCTGTGCACGCAACTCCAGTGAGAGAAATACTTGGCATGATCGTAATTTCCTCTCAGAAGACGCAACTTCGGGGAGATTAGAAAACCAAGCCCAGCGTGTGTGTGTGTGTGTGTGTGTGTGTTAAACACATAATACAGTTCATAAATTAGGTTTAAAAGAAGGTGAACGCGTGTGTTGTCGTCGTGGGACAGCTTGTCTTCATGAAAAGGTCCAGAGTTTCCACGCAGTACGATCTGGAGTTATTATCAATTTCTGTCGTTCCTGTTGGTGCCAGCCGAGCGTACTCTTCCAATCAGGACCCGATGGAAAGAGACAGCGAAAGATTAAAAGGAAAATAAAGGACACTTTAGAGGAAGGGGAACTTTGGACGAGCGAGAGTCTCTTAACGTCAAGGTAACAAAACATCGCAGGAAACAACAGATAAGTGGAACAGATGTGTGCGTCTACGGCCGCCGCCGCCGCCGCAGAAGGCGCTCGGTCGGGTGAATCTCGGAGCGCCGCCCGGTGGCTGCTCCAGAAATGAGTTCTGCAGGTCCTGGTACGACGGAGCGGAGGCAGC